TTCCAAAAAATGGAAGGAGGTGAGCGGGGTGCCACTATGTTTGTATTTATTATGTGAGCAATATCTTAACAAATAGAAAAGATAAGACCTTCTTATTTTATATTCTAGCTTGTCATTATCTGTAATTTGAGTTTCTAATTTGTTTTAAACTATCAACTTAGTATTTTGACTTCACAAACATCTAATTTGAACAAAAATCAATGTTTATCTGTGTTTTTTAATATTTACTTTTAAATTAGCAAATTGAGTAATGTATAGTTCTAAAATTTGAATTATCTACAGTTTGAAACCAAACTTATTGACATAAATTCATGTAATAGTAGTTCAATAAAATTTTGAATGTGAGTCAACAAACGAGATGACATGGCCTTTCACCTGTGACCCGTATGGAAATGGTTAACTGTAAAAGAACCTAGAATGACTGGTTAATCGCTAACTTGTGGGCTGCTTTAATTGAAAAATAGGTTTGAAAAGTCACTTTTATAATGCATCCATGGACTCAAAGTGAGAAGCACAAATTTTGTTTTTTGACAGTAACAGGATGTGAATCATGGAATTTCTGATCCAAAATCTGACAGGTTAACCACCAGACCATGCTCGATTCATTAACATAATGAAAAGTCCACCTTTTCTTAACATATAAATAATTTCATATCATTCAAAATGAAACTAAAATACAGAAATAATGAAGTATATTACAAATTATATCTTTAATGCAACCCACCTAGATTAACAATACTGGGAAGAAAATTATCATTGCAGTACTTCTGTAACCACAAATGTTTTGATTATACCAATATTCAAAGTATTTTAAATTATCACAGGCCTAACACTTTTTTACACCTCCTATTTTAGGTGTTTCTTTAACCTTATCTAAGACATTTTTTTAGGGTTTTCTCAGAATTTCCATGATACATTGGACACTATTTAAAACCTCCTGTTTTAGAAATAGCAAAAATAATCTAAGTTTATTTTGCTAATTCTCAAGGGATTTTGTCACAAATATTTTGACACAAGTTAAAAAAGGTCATTTTACAGAGTAACAGAATAAAACACAAAAAACACCAAGCTGAGAACACAAGCAAGAATTTTAACGTAATTATGCACCTCAAGTTAGACATTTTAATCAATTTTATACCTTTTTGTTTAGAGAAGAAATTCCTTTAATATATTTACTGTGCTTTTTTTTAAACTCAATAGTTACAATACTGAATTTTAAACAAAATATAAACCAAAAAGAACACTTTATAATAATAAATGTAACATGTTGGCCTTAAAACATTACAAATAACATTTTTCAATAAAATATATATGTTAATTGGTTAAAGTAAATTTTCTGATGTTGGGTGAATTATATTCATATATTGCACAGCTTGTCACGCATTTGGAAGTTTTAGGTGAGCATTGATTTTGATAACATCCAACATCAACAATGTACATATTTTGGTACAGAACAAGTTAATATATATATATAAAAAAAATCACTTAATTGAAGTTATGGACAATTTTGTATACAATGAATGAAGCACATTTTATTTTAAAATTTAACAAAAATGTTCAAGGACTTAACCCATTCAATTTGGCTGGGACTATATTTCCCAGTGCTCTTACTCCCTCACACTGCGACTGGGACAAAAGTTTACCATTGCTGACGCTGTTTATGCCTTCCTTTGCCGGGTCCAGGATCATCATCTTGACTATCATAACTAGCTGTAGAGCAGGCATCTTCTTGTCTTTTCATCATCATGCATTTGAATACAACTTGACTCACTTTCACTATCTTCTAAGCTATCTGAGTCAAGCACCTCAAGCATACTTACATAGTAATTAGGGTTATTATTCACTGCTCTAGTGATGCAGGCATGGTCGGCAGGCAAGCATCTTGTTGGTTACTGAAGGGGTGAGTGGAAAACATTGAGGGAAACCATATACTAACATTAAATGGGATGCCAATAAATACTTTCCAACTCATTTTACTCCCATACATCACGAGCAGCAATTTTAAATGACAATGGAAAACATTTGTCCCAGTTGCAATGTGAGTAAGTGGGAGCACTGGGAAATATACATCCCAGCTGCAGTGAAAGGGTTAATGTTGTCACCAATGTTACTTTTGTATACACTTAAAACACAGCATCTTGAACTAACTTGTGCTGTTTTAGTATCTGCTTGTAGCTTCTTCAGTTTATCTTGGTTATTTGCTATGAACTCTTTAAGAACAGGAATGTCCTTAGAGTCTCCTCGTAAAGCGAGCTCTTTTTTACATAGTTCTAATCCTTTCTCAAGTTCTTGTACATCAGTAAGGATATTCTCTAAAGAAACTGAAAGAATAAAATAAATTGTTATAACTAAGAACCTAAATAATCAGTAACAATCAAAGCTGTAATTATAACTTACAGTGTTATATTAATTATATTCAAAGTAATGAAAGGAAAATAATGGTCTAAACATTTGAAATATCCATAAATACTATTACTTCTAAGCTGTTTAAATGCATTTTTCAATTCGCTAAACTGAAATATTTTACATTTTCTATTCAATGTCATAAAGTAATCACCTGTAAAAATTTTCCTATTCTTTAAGTATCATTATTTTATTACAAAACCTAACTTCTATAAGGTAAATATATTTGTAAAATCTAGTGTTTTGCACCAGATCCTTGAAGTCGTCATTAGCTTTATGTTCAGTTATTGGTAACATGTAACACCATTTATTATTTGAAAATTAATCTGTAATTATATCACACCTGTAAATGCAATACATTCTTTTTGTGCATACTTGTATTCAAATAGCAGTTGCAAATGTTTTCTTACCAATAACCACATTGTACTGACATTAATTCATACAAATTTCATTTAAAGTTATCATAACAGCAAAACACTAAAATATCTTAAAATATTCTGCAGTCTACTTATAGTTCCTTAGCAGCATATACTAGTATAACAAGCAACTTTGATAACCCTTCCTTTTTAATGCATATTAACCGATATACATTAATGCTTATATTTTGATTATCAAATTTTAACTTTGTGCCACAGGTGATTAAAAATTGCCCCAGTAATTATAGGCTTAATAGTTTTACCTCAGTGGTAGGAAAAGTTTTTGAAAGTGATAAAAGATGCTTTGCAAAGTTGTTTAACAAAGTTTGAATTTTGTTGGATAGTCAGCACAGTTTCACTAGGTAAAAATCTTGCCTTACTAATCTTTTAACGTTCTTTGAAGAGATCCCTACTTATGTAGATGAGGGTAAGGATGTGGATTTGGTGTATCTGGCTTTTCAGAAAGTATCCAATATAATCAGCTTGTTAAAAAAATTGTCTCTGTAAGTGCGGAGGATAAGGTGGTTCACTGGATAGAAGAAAGTGGAGGGTTGTTATAAATGAAATTCAGTCATATTTGCTGCTTTAAAAAAATAATTTGGATTATCTGGTAAATAAGTGGCAGGTGGCTTTTAATTTTAATAAATGCAAGGTGGAATATCACAAGTTGAATTATAAATATAATTTTGATGGGAATTAGTTTAACATTGTTATGGAAAAAAAAATCTTGGTATTTTTAGTTCATCAGTCTCTTATACCATTCAATCAATGTGCTGTTGCTAGCGGTAGGACAAACAAAATATTTAGGTTGTACCTATAATGTCATTGTAGAGTTCATCGGTTGGATCATGTTTGGAGCACTGTGTTCAGTTCTTGGGCTCCTTACTTTAAAAAGGGCATTGAATTGTTTGGAAGAGTTCAAAGGAGGGCTACCAGGATGCAATGGTTTTCATACCAGGATAGGTTACGATATCTTAACCCTATGACTACTGGCTACTACCAGCACCATTTTTAAATATTTTTTGTGTATGGTACTGCATTACAATAATTAAACCATATTACTATCAATATATATCAATGAAAGTAACATTATAAGTCTATAACATTATAATTTTTATGTTATCCAAGTTTTAATTACTTTGTTTCAAAGGAAACCTTTAAAAAATATTCAAACTGCAGTTTTTGTGTGGTCTTGAAATTCAGCATGCTATAATCCCTTAACTGTCTTTTATAGTACAATGACAGAGTTGGTTAAACACACACACACTAACTTTTTTCCATATGGAAGCAGTTGATGTGACTGATCTTGTAACCACAAAATAATGATCAATTTCCCTACTATAATTTTAACATGTTTTGTATACCTTCATGAAATTTGGCAAGCTTTCAGTAAGCATTAAGTCTTTTGAACACAAAAATTCAGATCTTTTAGTTATGTTTACTAAATATTTATCTGTGAATATATAGTCACAGTGTTGACTTCTCCAAGTGCAAATGGATTCTCATGTTAAGGTTAAAAATACTTTTCTTCATCTGAAAATTTTCATATTTTATTTGTGGAACCTCTAAAACTTCTGAAATAAATAAGTAACTTTTTCAATTAAACTATATTTTATGTTATTTTCTCTATCCTAAATTTATATGGACTCGGTCAATTTGACCAACCTTGTGCCCACCATAAACGTATTCAAAATCATTCTAAATTACTCTTTTTCTTTCTAGAATGACAACAAACTGTAACAGGAAACTAAATTTGTTTATCCTGAACAGCTTAAGGCTCATAACAGTTTTACATCTGTTTCAACTTAATTTTATTGCTCTTTGAACTGTGACTAACTAATAATCCTGCTATACAAGTTGTAAATCACTTGATAAACATGCAGCTCAAGTTACTGTATTGAATAGCATAACATACAAGTTACTCATGAACAAATCTTGTGTAGAATTACTATTTTTCATTATTTCACGTAATCCATTTATTCAAATTATTGAGACAGTTTTTTAAAGTCACTGCTATTTTTACTTCGTTAGATATAGATTTCAAAATGTAAAATTTGGTCAAGAGATTAGCATAAATTACTAAAAGCCATCAAACTTTTGAGCAGCCATTTGTGCACAAGACAGATAAAGTTAAATGTGTAATCCGTAGCATGTGTGCGAATGAACATCACAGTCTTACTTAGTCATTTAAGTTTGAGTTAAAAGTCTGATATACTTATAAAATTAGATAACTATATTCTATAAACTACACAGAGCATTTCTGTATGTTTTATTAGTCTAGAGACATTACTACTTTTCTTCAGTAACAATTATGAAGTGAATATCTTGGCATGAAATTATGAAGTGTTATCATACCTCCAGCTGCTTTCTCAACAAATCTAAGATCCATGTCAAAGCTTGAAATATCAGGAAAGTGATGATGGATGCAGTCCACAATATAATGAAGCAATGATATTTTACGGTCAGCACTTTTGGTATCTCCGAGCTATTCCGTAGGAAAATATAATGTTTTATTGTTTTCTGACAAGTACACAAAAATGTCAAAACTTTGTAAAAATATAACATTACAAGCTGTAATTTCATAAGCCTCAAAAAATTGAAATACGAGACTATTTAGGACAAATTAATAATGTTTTATGTAAAACATATATTTTGTTAGTCAATCTTAACCACCTAGTTACTTACAGAATCTAAACTCTGAAGTTTGAAGCCATATGCTGGTCCTCGTTTAGCACTGTTCATGTAATTCCCAAAGGCTAAAATCACCTGAAAATTAAGAATAATAATAATGACTTACTTTCAAATTATATTTAATACAAGTTTTCAAAAACTGCATGCATTAGAATCATCTCATTATTAGCTTGCACAACTCTGGTTTTGAATTTCTGACAAACTACACAGTTTTAAAAATTGCTTTTTCAGTAGGTCTGTTTGTTTGTTTCTTGTTAAGCACAAAGCTATATCATGGACTATCTTTGCTGTGCCCATCATGAGTATCAAAACTCGATTTTTTAGAGGTGTGAGCTCTCAGACTTACTACTGAGCCACTGGTGGAAATTTGCAATAGGAAAAAAGACCAAATTATCTGTTAGATATATGGTAACATTAAAATATTATATCCAATTTATCCATTAAGACATTACTAATTCACACAAACTGCAATGACAATTCTTGTTCATGACCTGTAATCTCGAAAACACCTTTGAGAAGCTAGGAAGATATTAAATGTATAATAACACAAACCACAACTACTCGAAACAAACTTCAAATAAATGTGCAAATGTTTGCTAAAGTTTCAGTCATTTTATGTAAGATAAAGTATTAGAGATTTCCCCTTACTTCCACGTAAATGCAAATAAAGCCAAAAACAGCCCAGAATAAATAAAATATAATATTATAATTTTAATAAATGATCTTAGATTATGAAATTTGAAGATGCACACTTGTGAATTTTTATGAATATAGAAACCGGAAACAAGTTAATTCTTGTCATACATTACTAGGCTAATATTCACAGAATCAGAAATATACAAATACCAGGAAATACCACAAAATCTCATTTACATGTGGGTCATTTATACATTTTTTGATATAGTATAATATTGCTCCAATGAAATGATATTAACTAAATAAATGTAAATACATTTTCAATCTGCATTGTATTTTTACCATCTGAGAGTGAACTTATTTTATTAGTGTTGTTTTTATGTATTTTTATAAATCAACCAGACTTCTCGCTAAAACCTTACATACTTGGATGGCTATGTTACCTGAGTGGTAAATTAAATTGGTAAAAAAATAAAGAATATATATGTATACTTTCTGCTTAACTCTCAAACTTATACTTCTACACTGTTCAGTGTGATATAAACATTCCTCCTAATTTATTGAGATTAATTTTCACTTCTTTAATGGACTATTAATGGCTTAAACTTTGCTAATACCCAACTGTAATAGTGAATACCACTTGAGATGGGCTATCTGTGCTAGCTAACCCTAATTTTGGAATGGTAGACTAAAAGTCTAGTCAACACCACCCATTCTAAGAAAAGTATATCAAATTAGTAATATTAATTGCTGGGTTAATTTCTGTTAATGATCTTTTGATATAGCTCACTCTGATCAGAAGGTTATGATAATTATCACCAAATACCAACAAATTATTGAAAAATGGTGAAATTTCCAGGTACAGAAGTATAAGTCCTAAAGAAACATTAATATTAACATCAATAAAACAATTAGTGAAGATTAAGGCTGGAGGCACTCGATACCAACAGCTTAGCTGATTAGGGTATCTACCACGAAGCCAATAGGGATGCATGTTTCAATACCCTTGATCTCAGTTTTAATTTCATCTGAAATGAATTTCTTAATTGGTATATCAAAATAATGTTATTGTTTGTTGAATTTCATGTGAAGCTAAGCAAACATCTCTTCTTGCTAGTCACTCACTATGATGGTTGAGAAATAACTAACCTTAACACACACAATTTATGAGAATCCTCACAACAGGGCCATTCCCCTCCAGGTTAATGCTGTCTATTAATCTAATTTTAGATTTGGCCCTATTATATGTCTCATTGTCCTCATCCCTCCCAGTTAAGAAAAGCTAGATTTGGGACTGACAAGTTGTCTATTGTTCTTGCACTGCCATTTGATAAGAAAAAGCATATTCATCAGAAAATTCTGATGCTCAAGTTGCATAATACGTGTATTGTCCTGTTAAGGAGAATTATATGAAGTTTCACATACACTGTTTCATAAGTAAGTTAGTCTCAGTTCTTGTATCTCACCTGATGATGCCAGGTAAACCTGGTGAAATGTTGTGAATAATATAAACAAAAGTTTTACTATGTACAACTGATACAAACTTGTCTGAATTGTAAGTTATATTCTATTCTTTCTTAATGTTAGTTTCAATAACAATATTGGTTCAAATGTTTAACTTACATATGTATATAAGGAAATAAACAGCTTCAATACTATTATTAACATTAATCACATTAACTGTTAATAGGCAATTAAAATCAGCACCATAAAACATAATGAACTTAATATAAAATAAGCATAAAGAAGTTTCATGCAAAATCCACTGTAAATCCCAGTCGTCGCCTTAAAGTGATAACAGATGACTGGGATTTACAATGGATTTTCCATACAATTTCTTAATGCTTACTTTCATAATTTTTCATTATCAACTTATTAAATGAATTTAGGATTAACCTAAATCTCCTACCATGGCTGAACCTCATGAGATATTACTTGGATGTTAAAGCCATAAATGTTATTAACATCAAGGGTACCCAAATGGTAAAACAATGCCTTCTAATCTTTAGATGTCAAAAGGTAAAAGAGTAGCCCAAGAGTTGGCGGTGGGTGGTGATGACTAGCTGCCTTCCCTCTAGTTTTACACTGCTAAATTATGGACGGCTAGCGCGGATAGCCCTCGTGTAGCTTTGCACGAAATTCAAAACAAACAAACAATCGATGTTAGAATTGTTCAAAGGGGTATCGTGTGATTGGAAAAACCAATTAGAGACCTTTCCAACTTTCAACAATAGCCAAAACTTTATATTATATCTCACCTTATCTGGTTCTGGGTTGCCATGGAAGTTAGGCCACAGTCTTCTACGAATTATATTCTTTTATAAATAGAAAATTAAAGTCTCTTTACACTGATTGTTTCAAAACCCTCACCTACTAACAGGATGGAACACGATAATAGCCTTAAAATGTTCCCTTCAATCGGATTGGAAATGCAGTGTTGTGGGGTGGAAACGATCAACAACAGCGTTCAAGTATGCTCTAAATATTATTCACCCCTTTAAAGGAATTAAAATACCCAACACCTGTAACCAGAACACTCCCCATACCCTTAGATCGCCTCCAGAAGTTTGCAGTGTCAGAACAACATAAACAAGTATTTCTTAAGGTTTTCTCGTGTAAATCACATTTCTCTAGCTGTCTATCTGTCTAGCCAGACAAGCTACATGTATTCATGCAACCAGCATCCTAATTAATTCCTGTCCTATATCAGTCTAACCATTCTATCGATGGTAATCTATACTTCTTTTGTAATAACCTTAGACTATACCATTCTTTGACCACCTCGATTTTCTCTGCATTTTCCTGGTGATAATCCATAGCTTGGGTATGTAAAGCAGCACATACACAAAAGTAACATGGAAAAACATTCGTTTGAGGTCCCAGGATAAATTTGATTTCCACATATTTCCAAATTTTTTGCATGCTGACGATGCTAAGGAAATGTAATATTTGATATTATTTTCATTAATGGACAGCGAGATATCCAGATATTTAAAACTGCTAGGTTTGCAAGTACATCACCACAATTGGCGTTTAGATTTGTGTCCATGATATTAAATTACGTGTATTTAGTTTTAGTTGCATTGATGTGAAGGCCAACAGAGTTTCGGTATATTTTAGCTCATCACAAAATATTTTTTGTGCATTCCCTATGTATTCTCAAAGAAGAGCCAGAATATCTGTGAAATTCATATCCGTGTTGATAGTTGCAGATATGACTAAGTCTCATTTAATAATAATTTTGTGGACTTTGTCTACGTGTAATTGTGAACTCAAGTCTCTCTCAAGAATTGTTAATAGTTTTTCTCATCGTGTAATTCAACATAATGATAAAGAAATATGGTACCAAACTAGTATCCTGTAAAGCTAATTTCAGGATTTCAAAGGCATTTATTTCACAATATAAGGCCAAGGAAATGAATGGCCTCGGATGTTTTTCATAAGGCAAAAATGGCCCTCATTCTAAATAGGAACTTCCTGAGCATCTAAGATCGCTTTCTCATGCTTCCGTAGATGTAATCAAAGGTCATAGTGTGTAGGAGATTTGTTAACTTTACACCTTCAATTATGCAAAGAATTGCAACAATATTTGAGATTGTGGAAGGTTTTTGTCTTAGGCCATTCTGATTTTTGCAAAGAATTTATTCCATAACGTTAATAATGTTTACGAGAATGCAATTATAAGTTTTTGTTGCAATAACTGTAAGATTGACCCCACGATAATTAGATGGATTTCTGAAGTTACCTTTGTTGAGAATTGTAACAGTTCCAGTTCGTCTCCTTTCACATAAAACTTCACTTCTGCAATATGGAGCATTCATTGGATCAAGGAGACTGGAATAAAAATCTGTCGTCTTATAGATTTCAACTGGATTTTTATCGAAGCCTGAAGCTTTTCCCTGCTTCTGCTGCTGTCAGTTGGTTTAATCTTATAAAGCATTGTTCTAAAGGGAGTTCCTGCTTGTTGAATTGAGGAATTATTTCTTTGTCATGATCATGGATGAAAGGTCTACCAAGAAGATTCCTAAAGTAGTCAAAATACCTCACTCGATTATAGCTATTTAGTGCCCACAGATTTTGCCATAAGCATAAATAAAACTATGCTTTTCCATTTTAATCAAAGATAAATGTTTTTCACACTGGATGTCGGCTTCGATGTAAACTTTTTTAATGTCTTTCACACGGTATTGTTTAACATAATCAAACCTGATCACTGTTGAACGAGTACCTCACTTCGGACACAGTCTGATATCGTTGCACTTTACAAAACTGTACAATTGGTGGCCACCATTTTTTCTCAAGTGGAAGGTGTATTTAACTTCGAATACCTTTATTGATAGAATATGATGACAGATGCGATTGATAGGTACTATAACGATGCTCCTGCTAGACAGACCCAAACTATCATGCTCCTTCAAAAAATATAGGAATCCCTACTC